TACTTCCTTGACTTGACTTCTTTCTGACTCGTAATAGTTCTATAACATTAGACTTCCGCTTACCTTTGTGTGCGCGAAGACTGAGTTCTATATCCTCTAGCAACTCTCGCACACATCCTTGTAGTCTCACTCTTACATAGTGTACTATTACGACCGAGTGTCCAGGTGACGGACCGTCACTGACGCCGGCCTCTGAAATGGACAGTTTGGGTACCGGGGACGGTGACATTGAGATTTTGGCGTCAAAATAGGCCTAAGAATGTGTAAATTTTCTACTCGGCATTCGCCGGAATACCATATATATGACATCAACATCCAGAAAAACGAAAACTGCGAGTTATTCGTAACGTTTTGGGGTTGCAAAATGCCGAACAGCTGCGGTAATATCAGCGAGGGCACCATAGTACTTGCGCATCGTCATCAGCAGTGCACCCCCGGGGGCTAAAAATGAGAGACAGACGTGGGACTCGGTGACTCCTTGGCCGGACGGAGGCAATGCTAAGGGTATTCAATTGGTATTCAATGCGCCAGTTCCGTTAATACCTACCTGCCTACCTGTCTACCGTGGATGCGGCGCTTGAGAGTCATTATTCCAAGTTGTAGGCTACTCAGTACTTGTAGCCTGCCAGCTGGCCCAGCATGGACAGTTCCCAGGGTTGAGCCGGCGAAAGCAAGGTCGGCTCGCCTGAGAGATTGGGGGCCGCAGGAACAGCAGCATCGAGAGAATCCCTAGCAAGCAAGTCGACGAGAAAAGGCAGAGGAACAGATGATTGTTCACACGCAGACAACGGCATCGTGATTGAATCGCCTTTGATCCGTACCCACCGCACCCAAACCTACCGACCCTGATTTTGACGGCGAGCAACCATGATCCATCTGAAAGGACCCACTAGTGACTTTTCCTTCCCTTGTAGTTCCCCGGTGTACTGCAACCACGATCGGGAATTGCCGAGGCGCCGACTTGAACTCAACGTGAACAGCTCAACTCCGAGACTGCTCTGATACTTTACTTACACTTTGATTCTTCAACACCGCGTTGTTAAATTCTCTACGCCATGCCCAATTCATACCTCCAGTTCATGCGGAGAATTTGAATTTCTGTGTCAGTTAATGCAATATGCCCCTCGCAATTCTGTAGTATTAAAGTTGAAAATGTGATCACCGCCGAACGTGATCAATGACGATTGGAAACCGGCGGCAATGCGATGCTTGTTCGCAGGTCGAATCCGTAGTTATCATGATTATCCTGGAGCAGCTGCAGTGAATCGGAAAGATAAGAAAGAACTTGGCGGAGAAACAAAAATACCAGCTGCCCCTTTAATCGGACACCGAGAGTCGGACTCGGAACTGGCCCCCACTCACCGGTAGGAATCCATCGAAAAGAAGAAGGCCATGTCCGATCTAGGTTGAGCTTGGTCGACCACGCATTCGCAGTAGTTGAGCAATGAGCTGGAAGGGAGAAGACATAGAGATGCGAGATCTATCAAGAAAAAAGGTCCAACGTACCAGGGTCAATCGGAGACGAGAATCGAACTCGGAACTGCCCTCGAACTTTACATTCTTCCTGACAATGGAGAAGAGCTGCGTTACAATACACCATGTCTGATTCATGCGTCGTTCAGAGTCCTGTTTGTTGGTTGAGTTCAATTCAACCTGATGTAAATCATCCCCCTTGTGTATGAGCACTGTGATGACTCGGAGAAGGAAGGAAATAAATAAATGTCCGAACGAACTTGAACCCAATAGAGGTCCTCGCGAAGCGAGACACCGAAGATGCGAAGATGGAGCCAAAAAGAAGTATTCCGGAGGTACGAATTCGGAACATCGGACACCAAGAGTAGAACTTGGGTCTGCCCTCTATCTTAGTAGTATCTACCTCACTGGTAGGTAGGGATCTGTCGAAAAGGAGACGGCTGCGTTCCGTCAGCCATGTCCGGTTTCTCTTCTTTACTCACTGACCTGCTAACTTGTGCACATTCAATTCAACTTGGGGTGAATTCACTCAACTTGTAGGTGGACATGAGCAGGAGGAAAGAAAGAAAAATCCTGCACAAACTTGAACCAAGAACATGTCCGCCAATTCCAGAGAGGCGAGGGTACCGGGTCGGGATTCAAAGGATGTGAGGGAAGAGGGAAGAGCGAAAAAAAAAAAAAAGCGAAAGTCACCGAGAGTCGAACTCGGGTCTGCCATTCAAATTATGCAGCAAGTTGCAAGGAGGAGGGCTGCGTTCCGTATGCCATGTGCGATTTCTTCCTCCCCTCACTGACTCACCTGCATGAATCCACTTGGACGTGTGCATGAGCTTATATGGGCACTCAAGCTGGACAGGAAGGAAATAAATAAACGTCCGAACGAACTCGAACCCAAGGACTCGGGACGAGAAAGATCTTGAGAGAAAAAGGGGGTATAACACTCATTCGGACACCGGGTCTGCCCTCCACCTCATTGGTAGGAAGCCGCCGCAAGGAGAAAGACTGTGTTCCGTACGCCACGTTCGACTTACTCTCTGCATTCGTTGGCTGGATATATCGGTCCGTAATCTCGGCAGTGCTGTGCGTGGCATGAGTTGGGTTGAGGTTGATTGGCTCGGAACGGATTCAGATTCCTGGGGTCGGGAATCCGCTTGGTTGAGATCGCGGCGAGGAGTGTGTATTATTGATTCTATATCAAGTCGCAGCGATTGAGCGTGACGGGTGGGCGAGGAACGAACGAACGAGATTTAGGATCGGGCAGCAAAAATGTGCTGTCAAACGCCACAATCGGACGCCGAGAGTCGAACTCGGGTCTGCCCGCCACCTCATTCGTGGGAAGCCGTCACAAGGAGAAGGGCTGCGTTCCGTGCGCCATGTCCGATTTCTAGGCAGGCTCCGAGTTGTTGATTGGTTGGCTTTATGGGATCGCAGGTAAGCAAATAAAGTAAAGTAAAGGAAATAAAAACTTTTCAAGGTTGGCATGCCGCTGGTATGCACTGCGAGTGACTCGAGCGCGGCCGCGGGGACTTGCACAGAATAGAATAGAATAGACCAGGATATGACAGAGAGAGTGCCACTGCCAGGGATAAAACAAGCACCGAATCGAAGGAGCGAGCTCCTGAAAAGCATTTAAAAAGATCGACTGCAAGACACATTCGGACACCGAGAGTCGAACTCGGGTCTGCCCGGTATGGTAGCCCAATTGGCACCAATGGCAATCAAGGAAGAGCGCTGCGTTCCGTCCGCCATGTCCGATTTCCTCTCTGTGTCGGTTGTTGGTTGGTTGAATTTGTTGCAATTGGTTGGTCGATAATCTCGGCGGCCCCGCTGCGCGGCGGGAGGCCCACTGCGCTGGGTCGAAGTTGGAGTTGAAGTTGAAGTCTGGATTGGATTGGAGTTGACTCTAACCAATCTGATGCGAGGGTGAGAGCGCGACGAGAATCAGGAATATGTATGTGCTTCGCAGGGATTGACCACCCGGCGTGAAGAAACGAAGAAAAGGAAGGCCAAAAAAAGGCACGCCCGCTGCAGGTACTCAGAGACCGAGAGTCGAACTCGGGTCTGCCCTCCATCCTCTGGACGTATACACGTAAAGGAGAAGGGCCGCGTTCCGTCCGCCATATCCGATTCATACCTCTGGTTCGCGCGGGGGCTAGTATTAGCAGTAAGTCAAACTTGATCAGCATTCGCGCGTGCCACGTGCAAGGAGCAAAAAGATTATAGAAAAAATGCAGGGTGTACCAGCGATTCGGACACCGAGAGTCGAACTCGGGTCTGCCCCCGATACGTGACGCGAGGAAGACAAGGAAGAGGGGCCACGTTCCGTACGCCATGTCCGATTCATACCCCTGGTTCGCGCGGGGGCCAGTATTAGCATTCGTGCGTGCCACGTTCAAGGCGCAAAAAGATAGAAAAAAAATGTACAACGACCAGCCATTCAAACACCGAGAGTCGAACTCGGGTCTGCCCTCCACCTCATTGGTAGGAAGTCGCCACGAGGAGAGGGCCTGCATTCCGTACGCCATGTTCGACTTACTCTCTGCATTCGTTGACCAAACATATCGGTCCGTAATCCCGGCAGTTCTGTGCGCATGAGTCGGGGTGAAGTTGATTGGCTCGGAACGGATTCAGATTCCTGGGGTCGGGAATCCACTTGGTTGAGATCGCGACGAGAATTGTGTATTATTAGTGCTATATCAAGTCGCAGCGATTGAGTGTGACGGGTGGGCGAGGACCGAACGAACGCGATCTAGGATCGAGTAGCAAAAACGTCCAAGCTCGGCAGTTATTAATCGGACACCGAGAGTCGAACTCGGGTCTGCCCTCCACCTCATTCGAAGGAAGCCGTCACAAGGAGAAGGACTGCGTTCCGTCGGCCATGTCCATGTCCGATTTCTAGGCAGGCTCCGAGTTGTTGGTTGGTTGGATTTATGGGATCGCAGGTACAGTAAGCAGACAGATAAAGTAAAGAAATTAAAATAAAATCCACTCAAAATTCAAAGTCGGCAGTGCCGCTGGTATGCACGAGAAGTTCGCGCGCGGCGCGGGGACTTGCACAGAATAGGCCAGGAGAGGACAGAGAGGTTGCGAGTGGGAAGTAAGTGCAAGAGACTACATTCGTGCGTGCCACGTTCAAGGCGCAAAAAGATAGAAAAAAAATGTGCGATGACCAGCCATTCGGACACCGAGAGTCGAACTCGGGTCTGCCCTCCACCTCGTTGGTAGGAAGCCGCCACGGGGGGGGGGCTGCATTCCGTACGCCATGTCCGACTTACTCTCTGCATTCGTTGGCTGGACAGATTGGCCCGTAATCTCGGCAGTGCTGTGCGTGGCATGAGTTGGGGCGAAGTTGATTGGCTCGGAACGGATTCAGATTCCTGGGGTCGGGAATCCCCTTGGTTGAGATCGCGACGAGAAGTGTGTAATGTTACATCAAGTCACAGCGATTGAGCGTGAGGGGTGGGTGGGGAACGAACGAACGCGATCTAGGATCAAGCAGCAAAAACGTCTAAGCTCGGCAATTATTAATCGGACACCGAGAGTCGAACTCGGGTCTGCCCTCCATCCACTATTTACATTGCGAAGGCAGAAGGGCTGCGTTCCGTCCGCCATGTCCGATTTCTAGGCAGGCTCCGAGTTGTTGGTTGGTTGGCTTTATGGGATCGCAGGTAAGCAAATAAAGTAAAGTCAAGTAAAGTAAAATAAAATCCATTCAAAACTTTTCAAAGTTGGTGCCGCTGGAATGCACGAGGAATTCGCGCGCGGCGCGGGGACTTGCACAGAATAAATTAAATAAAGCAGTACAGGACAGGACAGGACAGGGAAAGTGCCACTGCCAGGAAGAAAACAAGCACCGGACCGAAGGAACGAGATCTAGGATCAAGCAGCAAAAATATCTGAAAGCAGTCAATCGGACACCGAGAGTCGAACTCGGGTCTGCCCTCCATCCCTCCAAATTGCGAAGGTAGAAGGGCTGCGTTCCGTCCGCCATGTCCGATTTCCTCTCTATGTCGGTTAGCTGAAGTTGTTGCAATTGGTTGGTCGATAATCTCGGCGGCCCCGCGCCCACTGCGCTGGGTCGAAGTTGGAGTTGGATTGGAGTTGACTCTAACCAATCTGATGCGAGGTTGAGAGCGCGACGAGAATCAGGAGTAGTATGTATGTACTTCGCAGGGATTAACCACGGCGTGAAGAAACGGAGAAAAGAAAGACAAACAACTTTGAAAAAAAAGGCACGCAAGACCTGCTCATTGATTCACTCAGAGACCGAGAGTCGAACTCGGGTCTGCCCGGTATGGTAGTAAAATCCCAAATGCAAGGAAGAGGGCTGCGTTCCGTCCGCCATGTCCGATTTCCTCTCTGTGTTGGTTGGCTGGCTTTGTTGCAATTGGTTGGTAGATCATCTCGGCGGCCCCGCTGCGCAGCGGGAGGCCCACTGCGCTGGGTCGAAGTCAAAGTTGGATTGGAGACTCTTACCAATCTGATGCGAGGGTGAGAGAATCAGGAGTAGTATGTACTTCGCAGGGATTGACCACCCGGCGTGAAGAAACGGAGAAAAGAAAGGCAACAAAAAAGGCACGTCCGCTGCAGGTACTCAGAGACCGAGAGTCGACCTCGGGTCTGCCCTCCATCGTCTCTACCTAGCAAAAGAGAAGAGCCGCGTTCCGTACGCCATATCCGATTCACACCTCTGGTTCGTCTGGCTCGTTGGTTGGTTTTAATATTACGGGATGGAGTGGGTGAGTCCTTGCAAAAGTTGAGTCGCCATTCGTGCGTGCTGGGGTTCGCAGTTTATTTACATAATACCTTGGACTCGAGCCAAACTCAGTCTTGGCCCGCTGCCAGCTGCGCCATGTCCAATTTAAATCTCAACACGACAGAGCGGCAAATACATTACTACATTCGTGCAATGTCCAAGGGTTGGAATCGGCAGTTCTGTGCGCATGAGTTGGGGTGAAGTTGATTGGCTCGGAACGGATTCAGATTCCTGGGGTGGGGAATCCACTTGTTGAGATCGCGACGAGAAGGAAGTGTGTATTTCTATATCAAGTCGCAGCGATTGAGCGTGAGGGGTGGGCTAGTATTAGCATTCGTGCGTGCCACGTGCAAGGAGCAAAAAGATTATAGAAAAAATGCAGGGTGTACCAGCGATTCGGACACCGAGAGTCGAACTCGGGTCTGCCCCCGATACGTGACGCGAGGAAGACAAGGAAGAGGGGCCGCGTTCCGTACACCATGTCCGATTCATACCCCTGGTTCGCGCGGGGGCCAGTATTAGTAGTAAGTCAGACTTGATTAGCATTCGTGCGTGCCACGTTCAAGGCGCAAAAAGATAGAAAAAAATGTACGATGACCAGCCATTCGGACACCGAGAGTCGAACTTGGGTCTGCCCTCCACCTCGTTGGTAGGAAGCCGCCACGGCGGGGGGGGCTGCATTCCGTACGCCATGTCCGACTTACTCTCTGCATTCGTTGGCTGGAATATCGGCCCGTAATCTCGGCAGTGCTGTGCGTGGCATGAGCTGGGGTGAAGTTGATTGGCTCGGAGCGGATTCAGATTCCTGGGGTCGGGAATCCTCTTGGTTGAGATCGCGACGAGAAGTGTGTACGCTACATCAAGTCACAGCGATTGAGCGCGAGGGGTGGGCGAGGGACCGAACGAACGCGATCTAGGATCGAGTAGCAAAAACGTCTAAGCTCGGCAGTTATTAATCGGACACCGAGAGTCGAACTCGGGTCTGCCCTCCACCTCATTCGTAGAAAGCCGTCACAAGGAGAAGGGCTGCGTTCCGTGCGCCATGTCCGATTTCTAGGCAGGCTCCGAGTTGTTGGTTGGCTTTATGGGATCGCAGGTAAGCAAATAGAGTAAAGTAAAGGAATTAAAATAAAATCCATTCAAAACTTTTCAAAGTTGGCAGTGCCGTTGGTATGCACAGACTGCGAGTGATTCGGGCGCAGCCGCGGGGACTTGCACAGAATAGATTAAATGAAGCAGTACAGGACAGGACAGGACAGGACAGAGAAAGTGGCACTGCCAGGAAGAAAACAAGCACCGGAGCGAAGGAACGAGATCTAGGATCAAGCAGCAAAAACACCTCAAAGGAATTAATCGGAAACCGAGAGTCGAACTCGGGTCTGCCCGGTATGGTAGTAAAAGCCCAGATGCAAGGAAGAGGGCTGCGTTCCGTACGCCATGTCCGATTTCCTCTCTGTGTCGGTTGTTGGTTGGCTGGCTTTGTTGCAATTGGTTGGTCGATAATCTCGGCGGCCCCGCTGCGCAGCGGGAGGCCCACTGCGCTGGGTCGAAGTTGAAGTTGAAGTTGGATTGGAGTTGACTCTAACCAATCTGATGCGAGGCTGAGAGAATCAGGATTATGTATGTACTTTGCAGGGATTGACCACGGCGTGAAGAAACGGAGAAAAGAAAGGCAAAAAAAGGCACGCCAGCTCCACATCTCCACTCAGAGACCGAGAGTCGAACTCGGGTCTGCCCTCCATCCTCTCGCGGTGAATACTCAAGGAGAAGGGCCGCGTTCCGTACGCCATATCCGATTCATACCTCTGGTTCGTCTGGTTCGTTGGTTGGTTTATGGGATGGAGTGGCCATGGGTGAGTCCTTGCAAAAGTCGAGTCGTCATTCGTGCGCCCCAAGTTCGCAATTTGCATACTGTACTTGGACTTGAACCAAACTCAGTCTCAGCCAGACAGACTCTCGCAATGGTGAGGGGAGGCCGAACAGGACTGTCCGCACAGCAGAAGGGGTACTTGCCACTCTCAGCACCAGCAAGAAATCTGGAATTAAAAGGCTTTAAATTTGAAAGAAGGCCTAAAGAAGGAACGACTCGGGGCGCGAAAGGTAAAAAGATACATTCGCTGCCTCATTCGGACCCCGAGAGTCGAACTCGGGTCAAGTTGGCCGCGCTGCCAGCTACGCCGTGTCCGATTTATTATTTAAATCTCAACACGACAGCGCAGCAAATACAATACTGTACTACATTCTCCGAGGCGTCTCGTGTGCGTGTGCGCAATGCAATGTCCATGGGTTGGGTATATATACGTGTGATAACAGTAGGTAGTCGTCGCAGACAACTGTGTATGTGCTTTTGAATGTACAACTGTACACGACACCGGGGCGGAAATCCGCCCGCTATATAGTCGATAAATGCTCCTCCACCTCCCACGCAGGCGCAAAGCTACTCGAGCCCCAGCGCCCACGCACTCGTCTGCCGCGCCTCGAGCTCGCGTATGCGCGCCTTCGTGGCCTTGACCTCGCGCTCGCGCGCCTCCCGGGTCTTCCCGTCTCCGTCCCCGCCAGAGAGCTTGGTGCTGCTGCGCTCGAGCAAAGACTGCGCGGCGCGCAGCTCGGCGGCGAGGTACGCCTGGCGCGCGGCGGGGGAGGAGGCGGGGCCGGGCTCCGCGGTGGTGGTGGGGGACGCGGACGGGGGCGCGAAGCGCGTGGACCAGGAGCCGTCGGGCGTGTGTGTCGGGGGCGGGGCGAAGTCGGGGTTTGGGTTTGGGGGTGGGGGGCCGAAGCCTGGATTCGGGTTGACGGGTGGGGCGGCGGAGGGGTAGCTGGGATTGGGATTGGGATTGGTGGAGGGAGGCGGATAGGATCCCAGCTCGACGGCGTCGCGGTCGGTTGCGTACGCCACGCCCGGGACGGGCATCGGCATCTGCGCCTCCTTGCCGCCCGCGCCCGGGTACGGGCCCTTCGCGGTGGAAGATCGCGGCTGCGTCGGGGGCCCGCCGAGGGTATGGCCGGGGCCGGCAAAGGCGGCGCGGCGGCGGGCGCGGCGGACGAAGAGGTAGCGGAGGAAGAAGAGGCCGAAGAGGGCGGCGAGGATGGCGAGGGCGACGCCGACGATGAGGCCGACGGGGGCTTTGTGTTGTCTGCGCGGCGGGGTCAGTTACATCCAGGGTAAAAGTGGTGGACGGACTTGTCGGAGTGGAGCGGGTGGGTCGGGGATGGTCTACATACAGCTCGGGATCAGCACAGAAGAGGGGAAGGCAGGCGACGCACCGGTGGGAGTGACTCTCTGTTATGATGTTTGAGGCGGAGACGCCTGAGGTGGCGGTGGGCACGAGGGTGACCCGCCGGTCGAGCGGCATCGCGAGGGCGGTGGCCTCCGGGGCGGGGGTGATGCGTGCAATCATGGGGTGGTCGTGTGGTCGTAGGGCGTAGAATACAAGGGAGGGTGGGAGTAGGATGTGTGTGCGTCGTGGTGGGAACAATAATACTCTTGGCACCCCGGAAGTAAACATACGTAAACAAACCGACTATTGTCTCCTCCAATCCTCGCTGCGATTCGACGCTGGGCTACTCGCACTGGATGATAGACAGATATACTCGGCCTGAGCGCCCTTGCCGACGTCGCTGACTGGCTGCTCGGCCTTGGCACGCCGCACATGCCCGCGCTTGTTCCACCCGTCAACTTCGTCTCTATCGGGGTCTTTGCCCAATAGAGTTACCCCGGGGTAGACGGACCCGGCTCAATACACTCGGCTGGTGTGCGAGTCACAGCGTCCTACGCATACGTCTACCCAGTTTTTCTCCCCTGCTGATGGCAACTCGCTCGGGTTGGAGGATTCGACCCTGGCTTAGTCGTCGCGCCACACAC